ATTCAACATATGCCTAACATTTATGATTTGCATCAATATTAAATTTAGGCAACAATTCTAAATTCATTAATTTACACAAAGTATCAAAATTAACATGTTCTAATCTATCATGTCATATATTAGAAGACTCAAGTATATAAGCAGAAGATGTGTTCTTACTATTAAAATTTGATACAATTGTCATTACATTCATCTTAAAGAGCCTATCACTCATATATCTCTTGCCTATATAAATTCCACTCTTGGTGAGTACAAAGTTGTCGAACTCAAAAAATCAACCTAAAACCCTTCTTATTCAACAATGATCCAGACACAAGATTCTTTCGAATTTCTGGAACATGTAACACATCATTGAGAATAAGTTCTTTTTCGGAAGTCATCTTCAATATAACATTTCTTTTGCTTTCAACTTTGAAAGTGGAGGAATTTCCCATGAAGAGTTGTTCTCCATCATTCATTATTTCATATGAAGAGAATATCTTCTTATCCGAACATATGTGTCTAGTGGCCCCAATGTCCACCCACCATTCCTTGGTATTTTTTACCAAGTTCACTTCAGATACTACAGCAGAAAAACTTATATTAGAAACATTTTCAAAAAGTTTTTCTACCTCGATTATATTGGCTTGGACAACCTTCCTCTTGTGGTTCCCTTGTGTTTTACGGCTTCGACAATCTTTTCCACGATGTCCCGGTTTATTGCACATAAAGTAATTGTCTTTAAACCTTTTGGAATCACCACTCTTGGCCCCTTGCTGGCCAACATACTTCCTTTTCTTGTTGGTTTTATGTCCCTCTTCAATCACATGTGTTTTTGACTCCATAGAGTGATTGTCAACTTTCTTTTCGAAGACTCCATTGTCCTCTCCAATCCTTAATCTCATGATCAAGTCTTCAAGTTTCATTTCTTTGCAGTTGTGCTTCTAATAATTTTTGAAGTCCTTCCAATTTGGAGGTAATTTTTCAATAATTGCAGCCACTTGAAAATATTCACTAAGCATCATCTCTTCGGCATGAATCTCATGTAGGATCACTTGAAAATCTTGAACTTGACTTATAATAGTCTTAGAATCCATCATTTTGTAGTTAAGGAATCTGTCCACAACAAATTTCTTCATTCCGGCATCCTCCGTCTTGTATTTTCTATCCAAGGATTCTCACAGCTCTCTTGTCGTCTTGATTGGACTATACACATTATATAATGTGTTATCCAATCCACTGAGGATATAGTTTTTACACAGAAAATTAGAATGCTTCCATGCATCTACCGCAGCAACAACTTGGCAGTCGATCTCTTTCTCACTACAAACAGGAGCATCCTCACGAAGAAACTTTGCAAGATTCAACGTAGTGAGATAAATATTTTCTTTTGCTATCTCTTAAAATCATTCCCATTGAACTTTTTGGGTTTCTCTGCATGAGACACATGAGTACACACAGAAATAGGCACAACATGATTTGTAGTAGCAGAAACAGTATTATCATTTTGCAGTCATTTCTGATAAACAAAGATTACAAATTATTCAAAAATAGAAAAAATAGTAACACTTTCCAAGGCAAGTTATTAAAACAGAGACATTATCACTGTTTAGTGTAACTATTTAAATCATACATAGAAATAAAGTTATTGTTTGGTGTAACGATTTAAACTAGAGTCACTGTTTAGTGTAATTGTTTGAATTTAAACACAAAAAACAGAATATGCAATTTTTCACAAATTTTTAAATCTCTTCAAAATATCACAGATTGTAAACAAAACAGGTTTTAACAATTTGTAATATTTTAGAACAGTCTAAATATTAAAACATGTATCAAAAACACAATAGGCAACTATACAAATTCGAAAATCTGTCTTAAGATTATTGTTTGTAGTGTATCAAATATTGTAAAATCACTTATTAAAATTTCTGATTTGAACCATGTAAAATATAACAAAACAGTTACAGTAAAAAGTTACACAAAAACGAAAGAGTTACAGCAGGGTAATGAAACAGTAACAGTAAATAGTTACACAGAACAGGAACTGTTATTAAATTTTAGATAGATCAAGGCTAGTGTTTGATATTATGTCTTTAAAACAGATTTCGCCTCCACACACGATACTTATAAAAACCGAGTGTCTGCCTCCTAAGATACAATGATCTTTACACAAACAGAAGTAACACTCCAATCTGCTCGTCTAACAAACCAAAATTGTGTTGTGTACTCTCTAAATGCACTACCTTAATGCCGAAAATGATATGTTCTAATGTCTGATTAATATCAAAAACAAACTGAATGAATTGAATTGATTAATGAAAATGAGCTTAGGTATTTATAGACACATTGATGACTTTCCTGACAGTCACCTTACTAAAAGACACATCCCAGAATGACTAAACACAGAGCCAGTAGACACCTTGAGTAACTGTTCTTCATGAACAATCACAATTCAGAATTTTGGACTGGTGGAAAGCAGAAATCCGAACCAGTGCGATCCAACTAGTACCGAAAATTTATTTCGGGTTAAGAAATTTTCGCCCAATTAATTAAATAAATTTTCTCCAAAAAAATAGGGTTTGGTCTAACCCACATCCATACCCCACCGGGTCAGGGCATGGCAAGGCGGGCGGTGCGCACGCGCATGTGTAGTTAAACCGAAGACATGTAGATGCTTGCTCCGCTCATAAAACTGTGGTACCCCTTGGGGCCCAATCTTATAGAGCAAACTTGGCCTATATATGCCCATATTAAATTTCTTTTTCAACCAATGTGGGATTGATGTCACATCTCACATTGCACTTCATCTATTTTCACATTTCAAAAAGATCATTTTGGAGCCTATTTTTTCATTCATTTCTTATTCAATTTGAGCAAGTGAATAAACAACATTATTCTCCTCACGAAGTAAAATATGAACCCATGAAATTTTATTTAAAATAACAATCGGGTCTCACATTAATTTAGGTTTAAAGTCGACCAAAATTCAATTTTTATACTTAAAAAAACTGTTTTGGTTAAACAATTTGAACTCCTAGTGTTTGATTTTATGACAAGTTTATACAAATTTATATAGATTTCTATTTAGAATTGATTATTTTAAGTTCTATTATCTATATAATAAAGTACAACACAATTCAAATTTTAAAAAATAAACAAAATGACTTTGTTATTTGCGGTTGAGATTTCTTTCAATTATTCTTTAAAGTTAATCCGACGGATAATATTAACACTCCAAATTTAATAGAAAAAATAGACCCCTAAAAGTGTGTTTAGAGGTGACTTTTTAAAAATATTTTTAATACTTATAATTTCTCATCAATACTTTAAAAAAAAAAAAAAGTGTTTAGAACCACTCTACCACCCCCATCGCCCCACCACCATCACCACCGCCAAACTATTCCTACCATCATTACCACTACCACTTCCATTGTCGCCACCCCACCATCACACCAATGTCACTATCTCACCCACCGACTCACCACCACCATTACCACTACCACGACTCCCGCCGCTTATCACCACTATCATTGTCGTCACCATACCACCTCTTACTATTACCACCGTTGCCACCCTACCACAATCACCACCACCGCCTGACAACCACCATCCCCATTACACCCACTACCACAACCCTCACCTCTATCCCACCATCACCTTTGCCACAACAACTACCATTACCACCACTGCTTTTTATTGTCATAACCGTCACCATTACTACTACCGTTACCCCACCACCACCACCCCCTACCACCTGACCACCCGACCACCACCATCCCCATTACCCCCACCACCATCATCATCACTGCCACTGTCCAATCATTACCCCTACCATCACTACCCTTATCGTCTCACCACCACCCCACATAAACCATCACCACTACCACCACCACCACCACCACCGTCGCCACCCCACCACCGCCACTTCCACTACCATTATTCACTCTCACTATAACCGGTGCTTAAATTTTTTTCTCTTTCCTTTATATTTGTGATTTGATTTTAGATGTAAATATAAATATATTTATTATTTACTATTTTTTTATTACTCTGTACTTTCAGATACAAACAATAACTATTAAAATTACAAAACATAATGTTCAAATATTTTTATGGAGAAACTAAACTCGCTTTTAGTAGAGTAGGGCATGAATGTTTGCAAGCTTATGTCAATCTTGGTTGAGCAAGAATCTAAACTTAACCCAATTTCGGTGCATCCCAATTACACCAAACCCAACTATAGTCAAATTTCATAGGATCAACTCGAATTACACCTTCAACCAGCCGTAGAACACTCACCCCTGCCCATTCTGCAACCCTACAAAAGTAGCTCGAGTATAATTGCCGGAAAACCCCACGGGTTTCAAAAGAAAAGGTTGGAATCCATAAAAGAGACAGAGGAGGAGAAAGGCAAAGTATACAACACTAGAATTTTCCGATAAAGGTAAGGGAGTACAGATTCAATGGAAACTAAAAACTGATCCCTTTAATTTGTATCTCAAAAAATAGTATTCAAAAATTATTTTCAGAAAGAATTTTTAAAAAGTGTGTTCAAATGTTTTTTTGTGTAGTAGAACTTGCTTAATTATATAATTTTAAAAATCTATATAATAAAGAACAATACAAATCAAATCTCAAAAAATAAACAAATAATTTTTACTTTTCGCAATTGAGATCTCTTTAAATTTTATTTTAAACTTAATCTGATACCTAATATTAACTCCCAAAATTTAATAAGAAAAATAAGCCCCTAAAAGTGTATCTGGGATGACTTTTTAAAAATGCTTATAAAACATTTTTTTAACCATTTTTTTTAATTAATTTGTGTCTTCATGTACAAACAATAACTAGTAATTCTACAAAATAGAAAACAGTAAAACTTAGACAATAACCCAAAAAACAATAAAAACAGAAATTTAGTGTTGGTGGTGATGGTAGAACTTGTTATCTAAAGACTACCCACTTTTTGTTCTCAAGTTTCAAAAAACAAAAACAAATAATAACTAGTCAAACAATTTTTTTCCCACTTCAAATTTGTCCTCGATTTTGAAAACATAAAAATGGAATTATTGCATCTCATTTGTACAACGAAATGCAAAACTGGGAAAGTAAACAGTTCAATGCATTTTGTTACACCATTCAAGTAATGCTGCGGGAGCTTCCTAGATAAATTTTCCAAAAACAAAGAATGGTTAGCTGCCTTGAAATCCCCACGTACCAGGGAGGGTTTTCTCCTTTCTCTTTCTGGTCATCGCGAAGGAAGAGAGACGAATCAGCAGGAGCAGCAGCAAAATGTGACCCGCCCAATGATATTTATTTTCCTCACACAACTTCAAATTCAGCACCAATTGGCACATGATCACTTGGGTGCTGGTAATTTGGTAATCCACCGTGTACATCAGATGATTCTGGTTCGGGAAGTTCAAGGTAACTGACTGGTTTGACATCCCCAGAAGGAGAAAAAAATATGTAGTCAAGAGTACCAGTAAAACCAGGCGTGCAGTTTGTGAATTGTGGTTCTCCCCTTGTATGTGCATAAACACTACATAATGATATTGGTGGATCTTCATGACATTCAGACAGAAGCCCCAAGGAAGAACCGCCTGAAACAAGGTATTGATATACCTGAAACAACATGAATCTTGTTAAGATTATTACGAGAATTCCAAAACACTGTTTCAACCACTTTGTAAAGACCACTTTTAAACTATGCATAGAAAATTCATTCCTCTCAAACTTCACAAAAAGCAGACTTGGCGAGTATGCAGACACACCATAAGGGTTGAGACGAGAGGGGCAGAACATGTTGGGGATTGTGTAGCACATTAACGGGCGATGAGAGAGAGAGGGTTCCAGTCCTTAGGGTACTCTTGCCAAAAATGAGGACACAATGGGGTATGAGACTGGTGGTTCTTCAATGATACTTGCGGCATGTCATATGTGGAATACTGACTGTGGTCCTTAGAGCAAGAGGTTGGTGGTGGTTCACAGCGATCACATGCCATGATTTGCTGAAATGTCATAGGAAAGATGTGGTTTTGACGGCTTGCTGCCAAGGATGAGGGGAAAGCCGAGGAAAGAAGGCAACAGATTGGTTGGACTTTTTCAAGTTTGGAGGATACAATTGTCTTTTTTGTTACTTGTTGCTCTGGCAGCAACATTTTTATTCTAGCAAAATTGCCAGCCAAAAAAGGGTCAACCTAGAAATTATTGGGAATGAAACAATATTAATGCTATCTCATTTGCTCAATAAATCTTTAATCTAGAGAGAACTAGGCTAGAGAAGCAAAGGATTTTAGCAACTCTCTCCTGCATCCACATGGATTGACATGCCTGTCCATGTCACACATGAAAATGTGCAATCTTAGTATATATTGGTTCCTCCCAATCATAAGTTACAAATATTAATCAAATTTTAATCTTAGTCTAACTTTGAGTGGCACAAGTCACACCCAAATTTCGTAAAGTAGATTTGTAAATTTAAGCATATTCAAATATAAATACTTAAATTTCCCCCTCTCTAATAGATTTCGAGTAAATGGTTGTTTAACAGAGCAAGAGATCTTGTATTTGAACCTTGCTGCCCCGGTGATAATTATCCAAATTTTCACATGCTAGACTCAAAATCTAGTCAGCACAAGAGGGAACGTGTTGAAATGTAAATACTTAAGGTACACCCTCTCTGTTAGCTTAAGCTTTTGGAATAAATTGTTGTTTAACAATTCAAATAACACTAAAGAATGAAATATCGATACACAGAATTATTTGATTGTAGAGGATTCTTGCATCTGCAACTAAACTCGCATCAACAATTTTGGCAAACCATGCAAGAAAGATCTCAGCCAATCAAAGGCAGCCAAGCATTAAAGTAAGAATTGAAATTTCCAAGTAGAAATCGTGGAGTACTGACAAACCTTATCTCCAGGGACCGAATTGAAGTCACCGGCAACAATTACAGAAGGTGTGCTTTCAAATTTGTCTGATACCAGCATTTTGAATTGAGCTAAGCGTGACAGCAAGTATTTAGCTTGTGCAAGCTTAACATCAGCCCATTCTGGATCCCTGGAGCAGCAAAGTTCAATACTGATAGTCAACACTCTGAACTAAAAAAGATAACGAATATTCCATTGAGAGGTAAAGACACAAATACATGACATAGCCAACAGATGTTTGAAACTTAAACCAGTTTACCAGTAAAGGTGCGTGTTTGCAACAATAATGAGATGGCCAGAAGGATCCTTAAGCCTGAAGGCAGCCATGATACCAACGCAGTCACGTTTTAATCTTACAAGCGGATCATTAGGATCTCCACGATCCTCTCGGTTATTTTTTGGCTCTAAATCTGAAAATGAGACATTTAAGAAATAAGTCACCAACATAACATGATCTATGAATAGTATAACAGGTATAATTTGGATACAAAATACAACCTTTTACTCCGGCATCTTTATTTCCACCACATAGCGGCGCATCATTATTTTGTACCTCGCATGATGTTGCTCCACTTTGTACTGAGTTTACAAGATCATTGTAATCTATTTTCTCCTCTATGACCAATTCTGAACTGAATAAAGTATCAAAAAGAAAGTTTACATAAAAGCACAGGAAAACAACGTCAACTCTCTCACGTTTAAAATAGACAACTACTAGAACTTGACTGTTGTTCAGCGGCAGGACTCCAATATGAAATTGGCAAGTCAATTCAATGCAAAAGATTTGATTTCAAACCAGGAACTGTAATGATAAGGAAGATAATCTACCATAAATACATGATGATCCCCTGAAGTTGCATGGAAAAGTTTTTCAAAAATCTATTTTGAGTGAAGGTCATTCTTAAGTGTTGAGTTACTGTCAGTCTTTTTAGGTCTCTGAATAGTTCAAGAAAATTTGCCAAATGTACATCAGACCCCAACATACCAAGTCATCATGAATTTACAGACGGGTGGCAAGAACATCAAAGTTGATCAGTTATTTTGAACTAAAAAAAGAAAAGGTTCAGTATACCTATTAGGTTTATAAAAGATCCCACACCCGTCACGCTTTTGCCCACTTCTCTGAATGTAGATACTTGAGTAGCCATGGCTTTCGATATTTCTTTTGTAGAAACTATCATACTCATCTAGCTCCTAGTGAAATTTGCAATATCGATTTAAAGAAGAAAACCAAAAGACCATGGAGAATAAAGCTTAACAGAGGTTACAAACAAGCAAGCTTTAAAATGAGTCTACACTATTGATTATAACGAGAAATTAATGAAAACCTGTAAGCAAAGGAAATCAGCCCCAAGGCTCTTGAGAACAGTCAATATTGCCTGGGAACGAGGTTTCCACCTGTAACAAACATACACTAATCTTAATACTTCAAGAATCTGTCCAACTTGAAACCTAATTTGCAAGAGCAGTAAGCAAACTAGACCATGATTCTGCACATTTAAGTAGCATGCCATTTCTATATTGAGGTTTACTGTAAACTCAAAAAGATAATTTCTATGTATACTTTTTTGACAATTACAGATGTGGCATATCTGTAAAGAAACTACCTTTGATTTTCAACATAACTTCATATATTATAGAGGACATGAGTGAAATAGCCTAACCAAATATGGACCAACTATATGATTTTACTAAGCCAGGAATTTACCTAATTAATCGTGGTATAGCCTTGCAAGTTTATGTGCATTACCAGTGACCCCATAGAACTGTACTCTCTCTTTCTCTGTCTATCTCTCATACACGAATACACTGAGAATTCATGATTGCCTCCTATATAAACCAAACATGAATCACTCTACGATCAAATTTTGAATTATTAGCTAAATATATGTGGAACCAACAAAACACGACTATTGATTGCCCAATGCCAGAAGGTCGAGGAAGATGGTGACCTGGTGACAGTTGAGCCGGTGACCAAAGCCACGGTGAATGATAGACATAACTATAACAGTCTAAGAGAGTTAGAGGGCAATGAATGTAAAAACTATTTCAGCGAGATACCTAATTTTTCAACAGCATTGACCAATAAAGAAGAGAGATACTTAATAATAAAAGAATTTAAAGAATCAGTTATGTAACAAGGCGATGGATACTTAAAATGATAGGATTTACCTGAGACAAGGCGATGGAGAGTGTGGAAAAAGAGCACTCTTTACATATGCCTTCAAAGTTAAATGCCATTAAGGATTAAAATTAATCAGGGAAAAATGAGCTTCAACATAAGCAAATAGGCTTCTCCTCCCAACAAAGAAAAAAACAATGAAACTACTCAACAAGTGATGTGGTTCAGTGGGGGGAGAGCGGATCTTTGAGTTCATCTGTCAAAAAAGTTGACGACCCTTGGGCGTGGTTCTCATATAAATGCAGAGCGGGGCCTGGGGGGATTTCATGTAGGAATGAAACAGCACAACTGAATAAGCAATATCATATATTTGATTTGTCACACAATTTCACTCTTCAGAGCCATACCAAAGCCGCATTTTCTTAGAAATCTAGTTCGTCAATCTATGATGGGAAATTCTAATAAGCTAAGAGGGGTTTCTTAATGCTGGATTTTTTAAAATGCACATCCCCTTGAATCTTGATTTGTGTAACTCACTTCTTCATATTCATCCTTCGTTATTTTGACATGTACATAGGCATGCAAGTATAATTAAATAGTATTTATGGAAATGTGATCAATAAATGTATCCTCTAGAATGCTTTCATCTTACCCCCTCAAAACCCAACATATATCTTTGGCCCAGAAAAATACTTGTCAAGTTTCTAGAGTGCCACTTTACAATGGACATAAATGCAACAGAGAAAAGATATGCCATGAAAGAAAAATAAATGAAATCAATTAGATAAACAAAAACACCACGAAAAGGCCTGTCTACCTGAGCCAAGATGTTGTATGAGACAAGACGGAATTTGAAGCCTGTAATATTACATTTGACATGGCATGGTTAGAGTGGGTGGAAACAAAAACTCAAAAACAGGTGACACCCAAAACAGGAATGAATTTTTTTTTTAAAGAATCAAATAGACCAATTCAACAGCAATATACGTACCATCAGGTTTACTTATCGAAGTAATCTCACTCTGTTCAACTGGAACAAACTTCCGACATAATGGATCTGCCATTGTGCTCATTTTGCTCAAAAAAATTGTGCTGCAAATTACAAACTTAAATTTCAATTCCCGGGAATAAACTTTGGACAGTTTCAAATGAGCTTTGATTTTCACACATCTTATGCTCCATTTGATGGCTGAAAGTACAGGATTATCAATGAAACAGGGCCTCCACCCAACTGCCAACAAAGCAACTAATTGGCTTTTGCATACATAATCAATGCATAGAATTCACAATTTCTTTAATACCCTCCCCTCTTTATTTTCAGTTGAAGGGAAATATTCAAATGTATGTCTTTATTATTTCAATAATTTCAATAGAGAGCAGAAATCAACTTTAATGTTTATTGGCAAAATTTTTTGCTTTTTAGAGCAAAACTCGACGTAATGTTTCCTACCAAAAGCATTATAATTTATAATCAGTTAAGAACTTACAAACTAACCAAACAGTGCCTCAATAACAGGACAACAATCATAAGAAGTAATATGCAAGGCAAGGTTCATGAGGTCTAAATCAATTCAAAAAAAGAAATAAAGTCTTTACCTTTGGATATTCTCTGAGCGACCAAAAAGAGTAAACGTTAGTTGGAGCATATTTGTGGATTGAGGGTTGTGGGTTTTACAATATAGTGCCATTCACTTACTTCTTTTTATCAAAGCTGAATGTTAAATTAACCATCAAAAATTGAAAAAAAATTAAAGACCCACAATTTATATATGAATTCGCACATATATAAATCTGTGTGGAGAGAGAGAGAGTGCATACCTTCGGGCGGAGGAAGAAAGAGGGAGGCGAGGAAGCAAGAAAGTGCCACCATTTAACATGGTATTTTTGATATTTACAGCCGAATAAGCTTTGGTGATTTTTATCTCTTTTGTGTATATTTTTTGGACTACCTGTCAATGTTTATTTGGAAGTTCAAATGAACCCACCCCGGTACAGGTACAGCCCAGTCCGATACGGCTTCTTGTGTGGTACAGGCACAGCCCAGTCCAATATGATATCTTGTTTGCTTTCGCCGTATTCTTATTATTACTATTTCAAATTGAAGTTTCTTTTTCTATATATATATATATATATTTTTTTTTATTTAAATTATTAACTTTATGAATAAAATAAATTTTGACACTACTGAGTTTTAGTAAGATTATTAGTGCTTCTTTTTCTTTTTCTTTTTTTTTTTTTTTTCTTTTTTTTTGTATAAAAAAAAATGATTGTGAGGCAATCGTACTTGGACGTGACAAGGGAAGCCATCAGTAGGGTCTAGATGGCAAGAAATTATATGCGCTCTCAAAGGTTGACTCAAGGTATACAATTAGTAGTGAAAGCCATGCTCCCAAAGAGCTAGTAGTGAAAGCTATGCTTATCAATGAAACTAATTTTAATTTGAATCTTATCTGAATTTGAATCCATTTAACTGAATATATATATATATACATATATAATTGAGATAAATTATTATATATTATAAGGTTTCTCAATTTATACCCTCAAAAATCAAAAATCTTAATTTATACCCTCAAATATATAAATATATATCAATATGCACTCCAAAAAATAAAAAATCTCAATTTGTACCTTTAAAAATATAAATTTGTATCAATGTGCACCTAAAACTAAATTAATAAATTATATCTAAATCTCTTATGCTTGTCACTTAATCATTTGGACCTCTTCACAATTAGAATATTACTCATACATCTCATGACGTTTGTGCACGTGTAACACATAACCTCTTTTCGTTGATATTTGTTAATATAACTGTTAAAAAATATGATTTTATCCTAATAAAAAATTATAATTTCATATTACTCTTTCTTTTATAGGTCCAATATATTCTATTCAAAATCAAACTTACCATTTGAATGTTTAATAGAATAAAAGATTGCACATTAAGTGATATATTGCATTGGATATAAAAAATATTATATAAATATCTACATTCTATTGGGCATTCAAATGGTAAACTTGAGTTTGAACTTTAAAGTATATCGGACCTACAAAATAAAGGGTAATATGAAATTATAATTTTTTATTAGGATAAAATCATATTTTTTAACTGTTATATTAACATACATTAACGAAAAAAAGTTATGTGTTACACGTGAACAAACACCATGAAATGTGGGAGTAATATGCTAAACATGAAAGGGTCTAAATGATTAATTTTTTATATTTGGGGATGCACATTGATACAAATTTTTATCTTTGAGGTGCAAATTAAATTTTTTTATCTTTTGGAGTGTAAATTGATATTCGAACTATCTTTCGGATTGTAACTTACAATTAACCCTATATTATACTTAATTAGATTATTAATGAAACTGACATGAAATTAAACAAAAATTATTGAATAGAATCATTATGTGATTAAATTAGGCTAAAAGTTAACTTAAATTTAATAAAATTATTAATTTCTTATGAGAATTTATTGAGATTCAAATTATCATATGAGATATCCAAATGTTAACGAATGCGAATATGAATTAATGTTTTAAAATTTGTCGAGTAAACGAATCAAATTAGGAACTCAAAGTTTTAATAAATTTGAATTTGGACAGATTAAAATCTGATTTGATCCGTTAACAACACTAGTGAAAGTAGCAGCAATCCTTGTGAATGGGATACTGCAAACCACAAACTCGGTGATTAATTGAATTGAACTTGTTTGAGTTTCATATACTTATATTTGACTCAATTTGGTAATTAAATTATAATAATTTATAACTAAAAAACTATCCAAACCTAGCCCAACTTCGATTTATTTAATAATTCAAAAAAACTCAAAACCAAACTGAACTTAAAAATTAGCTCAAGCTACTCGAATTATTTAACGGTGTCCGGAATATAATTATCACAAAGCGTTGAGGTGGGCCCAAGTGTGCACCTTAATTCCAGGCTTGGCCTAACTGTTATGTAGGCCTGAGGTCGTTTTGGATGGCTTTGGGCTAGCATTTTACTTCGTTTGGTTCAGGTTACATGATTCCTATCCATGGAGGATTCTGATAAAAAAAAATCCATGGAGGATTCTGATAAAAAAAAATCCATGGAGGATCAGATTATCAGGCGCAGGTTTGTATGTTCGCTGGAAGTGGATTCGGATGGTGATGAATCTTCAAATGTCTCGTTTAAACTCAACAAAGAGCAACTACAAGTGGAGTGGTATCAGATGTGGCAACTTCATAACTATCAAAATGTCATCCCAAATTCAAAAATTTAGACTCTAACAGGAGTGGTATCAAGGGTTGTAAAATGACATTGAGGGTCTTGGAGTGACATTTTTAGCAACTTTGGAGAGAGAAAGGGAGAGGTTGCAAAGCTCAACCGCTCTGTTCAACGGCAATTTTTAGATTCTGTTGTTCAATCTCAACGGTTCTATTCAACAAAAAATTTCTATAAATACAAAGATTTTGAAAGAGGAAACTTACCAAAGCTTGTCGTAAAAATCGTTGTAAGCTCCCTGCTCCTGATTGAAATCGTTGTGACTCTGTGGGTGTATGGGTTTGTTCAATGGTCGGTCAGTGTTTGTGGTTATTACCAAAGCTCTGGATTGAAATCGTTGTTAGCAAAGCTTTCGCCAGCAAAGAGAGGGAGGAAACATGGGGGAGAAAAAGACATAAAGACGAATGGGTGATTTGCGTGATTTTTGAGAAGGGGAGGAATGCGTGATTCTGGGGAGTGATTTTGGCGAAAGATAGAGAGACGAATGCGAAGGGAAGTGTGATTTTAGAGAAGGGGAGGGAAGTGTGACTTTGGAGGGAAGCGTGATTTTGGAGAATGGGGAGGGAAGCGTAATTTTAGAGGAGGGGATGACAGTTTTAATTTATAATTTGTTTTAATTAAAAGTGATTTAATTTATAATTTGTTTTAGTTTAGTTTAGTTATAATTTTTAATAAAAAATATTAAAATGACATCTTATTTTTACACCTGCCATTGGAGCAGATTTATAATTCAGGGCTATCAAAACACTATTCAAGATTGCAATAAGTGGTTTGACACCTCAAAATAGCAACTTCCTTTGGAGTTGCTCTACGGTCTTGACTTAGATTGTTTGGCTCAATTCATATTATTACACCAACATGAAATGAAATGCAATCTGTATACATTATCGGGCCTTACAATTCAACCAAACTATTTATCGAGTTCATCTCATTTATCAAACGAGTTTTAAATTAAAACTCAAATTTATTTCATTCGATAAAATAAATAGTGTAACAATTGTTTTATCTGAATCATTCATAAAGAGCCCTATTTATTTACCTTGCAATGCATGCTGATGACACCTCAAACAAGTCCTAGCTATGAGGTCAGGTCAGGAGGTCGGGTTAAGAGTTCAGGAAAGACACGAGTAACTCAGAGAACCAGGGGTGGAGTTCCCCTTGGGGAGATCGTAGCTGAACCAACCAGGAAACAACTGGATGACTGCGAAAATTGGGCCTCATGCATGAAACTCTCAACCAACCAAGATTCTCTCCTAAAATCAAGGAGGATCCCATGAATAATGGGCAAAGATTTCAACCGAAATCCCACGGAATAGGGGGCAGCCTTATAAATATTATACAATGCCTCATCGTAAGATGAAGACAGAGTGAGAGAGGGAGAGAAAAATCCTAATCAGTTTAGCACTGTCTTGTATTACATTCAACTAATTAATAGAGAAAAAGAGGAGCAAGAACCTCCATTGAAGAGTGGACTAGCCGAGCTCCTGAGTCGGTGAACCACTATATTTTTACTGTGTACACCCCTTTAATCCCCTCAATATTTGATTGCAGCATTATACACGAGCCTTGAAGCTTTGATCCACGCTCATCTCACATTACTTGCACCTTTTGCTCATCCACGTTGATTTACGCCATCAGTTTGGCGCCGTCTATGGGAAAGATTGTTCCTATTACAAATAAGCTGATCTTTCAGTGACTAATGGTGTCAACACGAAACATGAGCAGAAGCCAAACAAACTCATCTCGAATGTAGGACCAGCAGGGAACCACCAATGGCAGACAGCTCAAGAACGTCCTAGAGACTGATCCTCCCATAGGGAATCCCCCCATAAATAACGAGATGGAGGCCCTTCGCCTCGTCAATCAGCACTTGATAAAGTAAAATGAGGAGCTCTTAAAGCTCTTGCAACGCCCACAGGAGGCACATCCAGCCCAAGAAGATCAGAATAGTCCCCACTACAGGGACCAACAACACCTTGATCCACTCAGAGAAGACAACGAAGAGGGGAGAACAGCCAGATCTTGGGGCAGGTTCCCCAACTACCCCCTAGGAATGACCACAATGAAGAAATACAAAGTCAAAACCTTGAAGGTGAAAAGATTGATGTCTTCCCTTATTTGTAGTGAGAGAAGGGAGCAATATTGGGAGCAGCGCTTCAAGGGCATCCAACAGGAGCTCAGCCACATGAAGGAAGCGGTCAGAAGTAAAACTCTAGTTACAATGGACGCCTTGGTACAGCAGACTGAATCTCCATTCACGCCTGGGATGTTGCATTTTCTCCTCCTACCAAAATTTAGGATGCCTCAGATAGAGTCATTTGATGGAACCAGGGACCCCATGGACACCTCAATACTTATAAGAACCAGATGGAATTACACGGGTATCAGGATCCCGTACGCTGTCGAGCCTTTGCCATCACTTTGAAGGGTTCGACCTTGACATGGTTTAACAGGCTCCCCCCAGCCTCAATCTCTTCCTTCAAAGAGCTTTCCATTTCCTTCGTATCTCACTTCATAGGGCTCGAACCAATAGAAAGTCGAGCTATCATCTTTTGAATGTGAAACAGGGACCACAAGAAAATCTCAGGTTGTATGTCCAAAG